ATCACAGTACCTGAAACATTGGCCTGGACCTGTTCTGCCAGCACGACCTGAACGCTGGTTTGCATTTGCCTGACTGATGGGGTAGATCTGCAACGCATCCATACCGATACGTGGATTATACACCTTCAGCTTGCAGTAACCCGAGTCCACTACATACATGATTCCATCCACTGTGGCACAAAAAGCAACCTGTATTACAAATCATGCAAGAATTACCCTTCCTCAGGTCTTAAGTCCATATTATATCATAATTATATTGGAAATTACACACTGTTTAATACATAATTAATATACACATTTGGGAGTTGGCTGTACACCCATTTCCAACTGACCAATATCTTTGTAAGCTCTTTATTTTCTATGGCAGCAGTGAGAATTGAACCTGGTCTTCCCAAAACTAGTAATTAATTCTCCTACCTGTCAAAGATGTTTCTGCAATGTTCGTAGCAACAACACATTTGCGTAGGCCTTCTGGTGACCTCTGGAAGATCTTTGCCTGCAGATCTGAAGGGAGTTGCGAATATATGGGTAGCACAGATAGCTGAGGTGCATTATCAATCTCTCCCAGCCTCTCAGCCAGTACCTCACAAGTCACCTCGATATCTTCTTGCCCAGGCATGAAGATGAGGATGTCACCTATGGAAGAACAGGAACTTTCGGTTAGTTCACTCAATGTATGGCTAATAATAGCAACACCACAATGTTACAGAATCTTCAATGGCATTCAAAACTCTTGTGGTCATACTGCCAAAGAAGTAATACGAGGAATCAGACCACAGCCAGACACTTTGCTGACACGGGTAAGTTATATATTTACCATTTCCATTAGAGATGAATAGCTGTAGCAGTAGATGCTCAACTTTTTCATTAGTCTTCCGTATCGTCCGACAACTTTCATTGTCCTACCATCCTTTGGTCCTGTTTAGGTTGGATAATTGTTACTTTACAAGGAGAGTGAAGATAAAACTCTACATTTGTCCAGCCAACAGTGAGCCATCCTGGCTCATACCAATGGACACACACTGTGGCCTATAAGCTACATGTTGTATACAGCTTACTCCAAGCAAACATTAGGCTTATAATGAATGAAGAAAATGTTTTTATTTCCTCCAGTTTTAGGGTCTGGCAGCACACTACTAGCCAGTATTCACCACTGAGACATCCATGGTGTGATTCCACCCAGGTACAGCAGACATACCAACCACTATTCTACAATGTTCAGTCTACTTGCATTTTCTTTGTAGATAAAGCAACCAAAATATGTAGCTCATCTCTCATTTCCATCTGCTGCCATGGCAAGAATGGGTACACCTTTGCCTACAAAACCACTATATGCACAGTGCTTAGGCAAGGGACAACTTCTGTCTTACTCACCTTCATTTGGCTGTAGGTGAACCTGTAATGCCTGCTTCACCGCTGAATCAACATAATCTTCCACGGGATTCTTGCTGAAGAATGTATCTACTGCAAATGTACGTCCTGGAATGGTGAAAGTGGGAACATTGCCAAAAAAGGTCGAAAATTTTGTGGCATCCATTGTAGCTGATGTAACAATCAGCTTAAGGTCTTGTCGCCGAGCAACCACCTGTTGAAGAAAACGTGAAGAGATTGATCCCACTTGCTTAATTATAATGGGTGAGAAAGTCACATACAATCAGTCAGTACCACAGATGAATATACAACAGTCACCAGTTAAAACAAAAATAATTCTCTTTAACTTCAATGGAGAACTTGGGAAGAGTAATTTTATTAATGACTGGTTCTGTGGTTAATTAACACTAATCTTTCACACACAGTTAAAAATAATTACTAAAGTGGGAAGATGTTCATGAATAATTAATATTTAAAATCCTTAACTAAGTGCCATTTTATGATCACCTTCCAGTTTCATTTGAAGCTATACAACCTCTACTCTTAAAACAATTTTAAAATAACCAATGAATGAATCAATCAATCAATATTACACAAATTCAGAGTGTGAGGCTATTCATTACATACCTGACTTCATTTTTCTGTGACTCTCTCTCTCTCAAGTTTAAATGTTCTCCTCAGCACTGTGTTCTCAAACACCCTCAATCTATGTTCTTTTGTCAAATACAACTTTTAGATCCATAAAAATAGCATGAGTACATTAATAAAAAATACCTATTTTTCACACAACCTTTTTATTTTTGTGTGTCTGTCGCCCTAAACAACCTTAAAACAAACTCAACTGACTTTTACGAAACTCGTACAAACATTGTGCCATCCTCTACACTTTTCAATTCCCTGTTATCAATAGTATCAACATCAAGGCCTTACATACTTCTTTGATGGGAGCAACACTACCACCACGTTATGTGACCTCCTGAAATTTTGTAACAATATACATTTTTGAGAGCATATTTAACTTTTATACAGGTCACATTTTGGTAGGGTGTAAAACATGTAAGCCACATGAAATCTAAATTTGTCTGAAAGTGGTAATCACTTAATAAACAGCTGCCAGTGCGTAATGGGTCAGAAGCTAAGTGGGCCACAGAGCGAGATTGAACATAATGACTGGGAAGAGATGTAAGTGTAATTCCAGTCATACATCTCATATCTTGGCTCTTAACTGAGAGCTACACTGTATCTTTCTCAAGGAAAGTGGACCCCAAACTTTCAGATTCTTTTATCTTCTATCAAACAGCTCTAATAAAAAATGCAACATCTAATAGATACTACTGCAGTCTGTCCATCACCTTTGCATGTATTATCTTCACATGGGATCTAGATACTGTTATCTCTGTTACAAAGTTTGTAAATACAGTGAAGTATCTTGATAAAAACACATGATAGAATGCAACCTGAAGATCAGTTCAGTTCAACTCTGCAAACCATGACTTCTGGCAGCACAAAGGCAATTCAACACCTGTTAGGTAATTGTTTGCTTTTATCACTACTAAGATGAGGAGGTGGACAACAGCAAGAGCATGGCATAACGTACGGTAATTACTGACTGCTGATTCTTGGATATGGTACTCCAAACTTTTAGCTGCATTGTTTACAATGCATGATATGGGAGTATGACTGTCAACTATGTATTGGGAAGAACTGTCATAATCTATCTTAAACCACAATTTGAGCGCTTAATGTAACAGAAAAAATTTAAAAAATGCAACCAGGAAAGCTGGTCACCAGGCCAAGTTTAAACACAGGACATTCAAATTTATAAAACAACAAATGGCTATGTTACATACTTAAACCATGAAACCAAATAGTGTTAAACTTCTCAGAAACCTGTTCACAAAAAACACATGTATGATAAAATACTCATCTTATTAATATATATATGTAGGATACACAGGGAGAAACAACAAATACAAACGAAATTTTGATAAGCATACCTCAAAGGAAAGGAGCTATACCTCCACTCACCCCAAATGCCTATATGGCGTATAGTGGGACAAACTTTACTTTACTTATACCACAAAGGAAAGGATCAGTTAAAAAATCTAGGTGTAAGTGAGATAATATTAATATGAATCTAGAATAAACAGGTTGATTTAGACGTAAACTGGACTGAATGCTTCAGGATACAACTCAAAACAGAATTTTATGATGATAGTTATGTATACTTGGGTCTCGTAACAACAGGTTATTTCTACACCAGGAATATGTATAACTGTTCACTGCTGCAGGAAGGCCCTGTACTGCAGTCAGTCAATCAGTTAGTTGGTTACATCTGTAACTGTTGACTGAAATCTTTTTGTGCATAGTGTACATTAAGTGATAAATTTAAATTAATTCAGGTTTCAAACTGCCATGCTTAACTGAATTATACAACCTAAACACAAGTTGCTGTAATGTCTTCCCATACAAAGTTTCATTAAAATTCAACAACAGAGAACAAAAGCTGAAATGTTCTGAGGTGTAACGAGTCTACCTACAGTCTTTTTGATAGTGAATGTAAAATTAAAAATGTCTATCCATTCAGTTTTTTTGTAAAGTGATTAATCTGTCTGGACACCTGAGCACCTCACAATTCAAATCCAAATAGAATATAAACAGTCATGCATACTATGTTTACAAATGCTAGTGTCATAACTGTTTATTAAGTATGTACATGGTTATGGAATATACCAATGACATATACAAATCAACAGCAACTCCTTCATTAACAAATAATAATTAACTAAGTCAATACACTGTTATTGTTTACTGCATCTGGTTGCACTTTCACACACATGCTCTAATTACTCTGAAGGTAGTGCAGAATAATACTTAACAATGTCCATAAGACTGGCAATGAGAAAAGAGTCCTAACTAACTCCATTAGACAGAGATCTTGAGAATTTAATGGTCACTCAGCTAGTCAAGAAATTCCCTGAATTTTATAAAACCCAATGAACCAAATGAATCCAGTCCATAACCTCACACCCTAGTTGTTTAACATTATACTCCCATTCATAAATCTTCCCTTCAGGCTTTTCAACTAAAATTTTTATGCATTTCTCATCTCTCCCATAAATGCCACATGCCCCATCCATCAAATTCTCCTCTACATAATCTTTCTAATAATATTTGATGAAAAATTATGAAGCTTGTCACGGTTCTCAGACACAAGAGCAACCATTCTAAAGCATTTCTTACTTAGGATAACTTTTTTCAGTCACTATTCCAACTACTACTAAAATAACGTTTGTAGCACGAGTATTTGATCAAAATTAATTTCTAAACGTGTACATTTTGCCTATACAAACTGCACAAAATAAAACCTTATACCAAGTCTACTTAACCAAGAAAAAACACCTGGCAAATCTGAAACAATGTTAAACAACACTGTCACCTCCATGTTAATTTAAATTAGCATTTACAATATAATTTACATCAGCACATTCAGTCGTCTACAGCAACTTCAACGAAAGACATAAGCATCAGTGACATCCAAGTTCATGTCTGTGTGACAGTTACAAACTTTTCATTAATGGCAGGGAGCCCTGGCATCACAAAACAAATTGGCAGTTTCAAGTTTACTGTCACAACTGTATCCAAATGGCTTGACGAATCCGAAAAATCAGTATTCTGCAATGTGACAGAAACAGGAGACATTTTGGAGGTGGAGCATAAGGATTCCCACCACTGGGGTATCAGTATCAGAACAACAGCATCACGTAAGTATGAAGCCAAAGATGGGATTTGCATGTGAATTTATTCTTGCCAGGCAGACAAGAAGAGGCCAGATTATTTAAGACATGTGACCATTTTAATAACAAACTAAGTATGGAAAACACATCTGAGATTTGAGGTTTTCACAGGTAGTGCAGATGTTGTTATGGTTGATTGGAGTGTGTGAACTGTAGTCTTGTACGTGGTTAACAGTGTTTTAGATAAAATATCACCTTCACCTTTAGGGTTCTAGTTTAGATTAGGTGGTTACCAATGGTTAGGAAGAACATTGATTCCCACATACAAGACCACATGAAATCACAACCTAGAATCCCACAATCAACATTTTTTCTTGACAAGACACAATTATTCAGCTAATCAAGAACTACTCTGCCTTTTTTAATGGATTCTAAAAGCACATTACCGTTTCTATCCTGCCCTGAGCCATATATTTTATTCCACACCCTATCATCTATTTTTTAAGACCCAAGTTGTCTTATCCCATCAGATTTTTCTGACTAAAATTGCATATGCACTTCTCATCTCTCCCATGCAAGGTACATGCCCTACCCATCTCAGCCTCCTTGGTTTCATCACCTGAGTATTAATTTGTAAAAAGCAGAAATTATGAAGCTCATCACTGCACAGTTTTCTCCAGTCTCCTATCACTTCAAAAACATTCTCCGCAGCACTCTGCTCTCAAACACCCTCAGAGTACAAAATAAAGTTTCATTTCTATACAAAATGACAGATAAATTAAAGTTTTGTATACTTTAATCTTTATATTTTCAGATAAGAAGAGAAGGAAAGAAAAATATTTTGAATTGAATGGTACCAAGCATTGCCCAAATATAATCTTGGATATATATATATACACACACATGCATGTATGAATCCACACAGAAGGAAGTTTTATTCAGATACTGTCAACAATGCGGGGAAGAAACTCACTGCCAAAGTCCTTATATTCATTTTCCTGTGACCCCACAGGGCATATCACAGTAAGAAAATTAAATATTTTGTACTTCCAGGAAACAAAGGTGCTGATGGAATCCAAGTTGTAAGCTATAGACCTGATCAGGGAAAAGTAGTGCAGGAGAAACTAGAGAAATTCTGGGTGCCTGATAGCCGGATACGCATCAACAACAAAAGTGATCAAAATATGCCATATCACAGTGAAGAAGAGATCAGGCAACAGGTGACATACGTAAGTAGCTTGTGTTGCATAGTTCTTACATTTTGCATGCAAATAGTGTCTGTTATATGCAAATGATGGCCCTATGTTTAAGTACAATTTATGTAACCAGTATACTCATCCTGTACATACGTATGAAATTTTTTTATGGAGATGGTAGTGCAACATAAAATATTTAACTGGAAATGACAATGATCAGAAACATAAACTGACTTCTAGCCCTTAAAAGATCAACTGACAGATGGATTAAGCTAGGGGAGAATAAATGGAGACATTCATGAGATTCTCCTGTGAGAAATGACTTCAAGCAGTATTAAAACATGCCTTCCCTTTCTAAATTAATTAATTGACATTTCCCCCCCCCCCTCAAATAGTGTAAGCTCTCCTTACTACTGCTTTAAATTAAAGACTGTTAGCCTATTCCCATAATCTGGCCATATTTTCTCTTATAATGTTGAGAATGCAAAATCAAACTTTGTTCGTACATTCAGAGTAATTTAAGTGATATAACACTACATTCCAAGAATGAGCAGCAGTACAATAATTAATTTACAAAACAATGACTACAAGTTATGATGCAGCTCTTATCATTAATTTGACTATGAGTGTCAGTATCACAGTAACACTTTTTTTATAACATAATTCTGGTTATGTGTCCTTTTGTGTATAGTTTTGATAGCTGAATAACACAGTTTCTTCGCATGCTATCTAATTTCAGCTAATGTTGAGTGCTAAACGAGAAATGTGAGTTTAAATTATCTATCTTATCATGCCACATATCACATAGGTTTATCAAGACTAATTACAAATAATGTGAATAGGTACTTAATTACTGCATTTATGACTGACTTCATGAAAAACTCGGTCTATATGACAACCAAATAAAGTTCCCAAAGCAAATGCGCTGCTAATTCATAATTTTCTGTGCATTCAATGACATTTCCACCAGTGCAGGCTATCATAACAAACCTGTCTCCAGAAGATGACTATTTTCTGAGTCGTATAGCTGTGTACTCACTACCCTGATGATGGAGGCAGCAAGGACCTCTGAAATTCTGGTAAACATCTACCAGACTACACAATGCTACAAGCCAGAAGACAGCAATCTTTGTACTCTCTGCCATGAGAACCTAAAAACCTAAACCTGTCCCCATTCCATTCTATACTCTCAACATTCTTCTTTTATCTCAGTCCACTTTACCTCTACTTTCTTCTACATATCTTCCCTCATTTGATATCGCCAGCTTATCCTTGATCACCCCAGTGGTTGTTTATCTGACAATTTTAGTTATAAAAGCTCTCAAAAGAAGCACATTATAGTCCATGCACAGAAAATGCTCATTATTAATAATATGAGCCACATATATTTTTATTTTCTCCTAAACGTATCCAACTACAAGACCACATGGTATCATAACCAAAGACCACAATCCACTTCTCATACAGATGCACACAAATGCAAACTGAACTTTTCTATAACATCTTACTCAATGTGCCAAAACATGGAGAAGCGCTAAGTCACTAATGGGTAGGTTATAGGTTCTGTCACAAACTTACAATGTTCAAGGGAAGCAACAGTAATGTAACACTTCTTGTTTCAGGCACTAAGACATCAGAAGAAGCAGAAATGGCACAACAGTGAACATTTTGCCCACTGGTGCCGCCATGGTAAAAAGGTTGGAAACGAGCAGGAGAGAAATGTATGTCTATATTCTGTACTTCAATCTGCATGAGCAACAGAATTCTAGAACTATAAATCAATCCTTGAATGTATCTCAGGAACTAAACTTTCACCTACTTGTTCATTACTCCAAAGTATACACTACTTACAAGAAAACTAGTATAACCACTCCTGTATGAAACAAATTTAGATTATAACACAATCTGTCCAAGTGTAATTACTGGAGATATATTTGGTCTAGCCACACAGTCACTGTAAACAATGACACGTGCATATTGAGTTACCAAGCGTCAGAAGCCCTTTTATGGAATTTCATAATGTTCTGACAAAACCAATTAAACCAAATGGAACTGTCATCCTATCATAGCTGACACAGCACTGTTAAATTCGACAAAAAAGAAACAAATTATGAGATTGCAGGAGTTTGAGAATAGTGTGTTGTGGAGGATATTTGGGCCTAGGAGAGAAGACGATGGGGTGTGGAGAAAACTGCATAATGATGAGCTTAAAAATCTGTACTCCTCCCCCAATATTGTCAGGGTGATTAAGTCGAGAAGAATGAGATGGGCGGGGCATGTAGCGCGCATGGATGGGGCAAGAGGTGTCCACCGGGTATTGGATGGGAAGTCTGAGGGGAAGAGACCGCTGGGGAGACCTAGACGTAGATGGAAGGATAATCTCAGGCAGGATCTATGAGAGATAGGAGCTGAAGGAGACTGGATTTTGTTTGCCCAGGACAGGGTCCGGTGGAGGGCTTGGGTTAATTCGGTGATGAACCTTCGGGTTCCGTAAGCCATCTAGTTAGTTAGTTATTAATTTCAAATATGAACAACAATTATCCTAATCCCAATATCAATATAGTTAAGCCTGAGATGAAATGTGTATTTCTGACAAATCTCAAGTAAGTCTGATGTAACAATTCTCTCTCCACTTTGTGTTGGCAGGTCAGTGATATGGCAAAGTGGGGAAGCATATCAGCCAGTGCTGGAGCATGGATGTTCATGAAAACCAGAAGACAGCGGCACAACACACAATAGAAATACCCAAGTTGCTTTTTTACTACACAGAACCAAGTTCACAACTTAGTATGAATATTGATAAATTACATATAAGACATGAACAACAGTGTATTAATCACTTGTGATAAAACAAGATGTCACTGCAAACTCACAATGTTACCACAGTTGTCTACAATCCAGCTGGTAGTGTTCCTGGTTTTCCACATTAACTCTGATAGAAAGAGAGCTCATACAATAATCCCTTTGTTCACCCATCCACACCCAATCTACTTACCAACCCAACCAACCCAGCACAAACTGGACCATTACAAATCATAAGCTTGAGGATATGGAAGAAAGGAGCAATAAAATATTACAAGATACCATCACAGAATTTTCCTGGAGTGACTGAGGAATATCTAAAAAGCAATTCCTTGGTTCCACAAGAAAGAGCTTAATTTATAACACATCAATGGGGCCTCTCAGTGCAGTATATGCAGATACAGCATAGCTACTGTAGACAAAAATACATGGGTATATACTGGCCCTTAATCCTGAGAAAGTTAGTGGACATTATTTATCTTGCTAAGAAAGCACCAGTAGTTTTTATAACAGATTTTCTTACATGGCAGCTTCGAAAGTTCTGAGACAGAAACAATTAGTCACAGTAAATATAAATGTAAGTTCTTACTTTTACAAATATACAACAATATTCCAAACTTATTTACATATAAATAAATAACTCATATGTTAATTAATTTATTCACAGAATAATGGAAAACAAACATAAGATACATAAAATAAGAAGATCAACAGAACACATACTATAATAATTTACAAAACAGATGAATAAATTGAAAAACTTGCATTGTAATATAAAGTAGTTTTAAAGGAAAAACCTGAAGATGATGCTACGCATCGAAACATGTAGTAAATGAAGGCGCAGTATTGTAACATCGTAGTAACGATGAATAGCGCAAATTTTAAATTTTAACATCTGTAAATAAAGTTTGTGTATAGACCTGAATTATATTATATATTTTAAT